CAAGCCTGGATAAAGATGAAACCAACTTAAAAATATACATTTATGTAGCTTAGCACTGCCATAGAAAAGATCCAGTTTCATTTCTAGGATATGTCTCTTTTACTATTGAGCGACAGATCTCATGTATTCTCATGCCAAAAAAACTTAAACTATGTTCATGGAATTGATATTACTGTTTTGCGTATTATTTCATAGGACTTGTTATACCTACCAATGACACTTTGCTCTGCTATTACTATATTTAGCTTTTGATTCTGGGCTCAGACATTGGATTATATGAGCTGATCCACTGTTTTTTTAATCAATTTATGACTGTCCTGTTTCTGAATGTCAGTCATGTCATTTTACTTGCTATCATGTTTTTTAAAAGTTCTCCTAACTCATGAAGTCAGCTGTTTATTACTGACAAAAACTGCATGATGCTAAAGATCCTTATTTTTTTGAACTTATAGTTTCAGGTTTCTGAAATCAAAATCACAGTACTGCTGCAGGAACTATCAAAATTAAAATAAAAGTATCATTAGCTAGCCTCAATACCAAAAAAAAGATTTTGTAAAGATAAAAGATTAAATCCACCATATAGCACCTACTATAATGTTCTTTATTAGCAAGTTAAGAGCTAACAACAGCTTAACAGATTGATAAAGCTTTCAGTTTGATAATCTGTCAGCATGTTGCCCAATTTGAGATTGTAAGACAATGTCAACAAAAAAGAACATATCCTTAATTGGATTCCCTGCAACTCAATCTTCAGAGAAAAATATGTTTTAAAATCCAGGTTTATCTGTACAGAACTGTATCCATCTGGCTATATATTCCAGAGAATCAGCACCCAGATGTGGTAGGACAACAGAGTAGCTTGAATGATTCTAAGAGTGATGCTGATGGCTGCATAAGCTTCTGATAGGATCGCCAATTTTAAAGTCAAAATGGGAGAAATAAAGCTAAGGATAATTCACAATGGGGATGAGGGAAGGTGTATTTCTATAAGCATGAGGAAAGCCAATCCACTTATGAGAGGTTAGCTTAAAATTAAGCCTAAAAAAGGCAATGCCAAGCCACTTCTGTATTGCTGACAAGAAAACCACATAGAAAATTTGGGTGCCAGGTTAGAAGTCCCTATTTCAGTTACAGGGGAAGGATATATTGGACTTGCTGTATATGTCTTTTTTGTACAACAGAGCAAGGGCATCTATGAGTGGAACATATCAGAGCTACCCCTGGATATGTGATCTTTTAACAAGCAGGTCCTAATTCTTGTTGTAGATGAATTCTGTAGAACTTTCTTACCAAAAGACAATTTACCCAGACACATAAGTCAAACATGTAATGCCTGATGGAGGTCCACGTGGCAACCCTACAACTGTCCCTCAGGAGGTGCTAAATAGCAGAAGTAGCCAAGGTTCATGGGTTCCTAGTAGGATGCACACTGTTTATTGAGGGGCAGTTTTGTATGCTAGTTTGATACATGCCTTACATTTTGACTGTTATGGTTAACCTAGAGTTGCACCCTAGCTTAAGCTGTTGGAAGGATATAAAAGTGCTATTGGAGGCTCTGAATACATGTTCTACTCAAGCAGATCTTGACAACCTGCCTGATGTCTATTTTGGAATTCTGGGTTCATTTGTTTAAAAAATGGATCTACAGGCTATGCAAAGGTATCTGGTTGGATGATGCAGATCTTGGAAGAAAGCCTTCTCACATTTTTCTAGATGATGTTACAGCTATCAGGAATGTCAATTACATACTCTAAGGATGGTGAGTGCAGGGGCTCAAATAGAACTTAGATAAGACTTGAAGCACTAACTGGAGATGCCATAATGAGTAATCCTAATAAGAATATGACAATGAACCAAAAGACTTAGTATTCTCTAATGTTTGGGCTGAGAAGAGGGCTGATAATTCCATGAGAATTGCAAGAAGTGCAAAATGCAACAAATAAAAAGGGTACAATAATACTGATGTATACTCGGAATGAGAAAATTGGAGACATGGAGGAACTGCAGCATGATTTGGATTGGGTGAGCACAACAATCCAAGAAATATGTTAGCAGACTTTTATGTAAAAAAAGTCTTTGTTGTTAATATCTTCTTCAAACAAAAAAAATACATACTTTAAAAACAGCCATTAGAATCACAAGGGCTAGATAACAGAAACCAAAAGGCGGAGAAGTGCAATTTGGTCAGTTACAATGCTTCTTTCTGCAATTCTGGAATAAATTATTGAAGTCAAATATATGCGTTAAAATTAGAAAATTAAACAGGAGGAGTGCCAGCAAAAACTGATTTGAAAACAATCAGAATGTAAAATCAGTGTAAGGAACAGATTCAGTATATAGAACCTGAGAAACTACAGGAACAAAGAGATACTTTGAAAACTAAAGCAGAAAAAATATTCTTATAATTTTAAAGAGAAAAAGATTCATACAGTTACAAAATAAGCTAGCTGGAGGAGGAAGATGAAGGCCCCGGCCAATAAATTATCTTTACAGGGACTGTAAACAAAGATTTGTTACTGAGAGAGATTCTGTGGGCTAAAAATAAGAGAAAAGGCAAGTCTTCTCCTTCTGAAAGGGTTGTGACGTGAAAAAGCATGAAAAGTTTTTAGATCTGATTGGCTACAATTTCTAAATTTGCTCAGAATTCAGATCAGCTAGCTCTCCTGAACTTGCACAAAAACTGCCAGCTATCTTATAAAGCTACCACTTCCTGGAATACAATAAAGATATTGTTCTAATCTGTGCTTGTCCATTAGTGAGATCCAAAGAAGGAGGAAGTCAAACATTTGCATAATGGATCCAACCATTGGAAATCATGAAGGAAAAAAGTATCCAGAAAGCATTAACAAATTTTATGAAAGAAAATACAGAAGATGCAAACACTCCATAAAAGTTGAAAAAATAGGAGAATCTTAGTGCAGAATTAAAATACTAAAGAGAAAAAAGAACATTTATACAAAAGAGAAAGGGGAGGACATAATCAAAGAATACAGGTTATTTCCAGAAACTGCAGGAATTATGTCAAAAAAGCTAAAACTCAGAATATATTGAGGGTTGTTAAGAGATGAAAAAAAAATAACAAAAAAGCTATTTTGTATGATAAAGATAAAAGGACAGCAAGAGAGACTGCTATCCATGTGACAGGAGAAAGCAGTGAAGCAGTATTGGATGATGGGACCTTTTTAATTCCTATTTTGAGTTTGTCTTCTCTCAGGCGGAAAATGGAGCCTTAGCTGCATCATGATTATACCAGTGGGAGAAGAAAATTGCAGCTTACAATATTTAAGGAGACTATAAGAGAAACTAATTCAAATGAATTTATCTCTCAAGAGCCAGATGGATTACTTCCCTACTGAAAGAGCAAGTGCAGGTGATCATAGAATCGCTCTTCATAATCTCTGAGAATTCCTGAAAGAATAGTCATCCCCATCTTAAGGAATACCTGGGAAACGATTAAATGTGTTATTTTTAGCATTTATACTGGGCAGTCTTCAAGTAGTATGATTGTAAACTATTGCGGAGGCATGTTACAACTAACATGATCCAGCATGGATTTATTGGACACAAATCATGCTAGACTAACCTTACATTCTTTCTTGATAGAAAAATTAACTTAGTAGATCAGAGCAATGCCACAGACAAAGTGTATTTGGAACTCAGTAAAGTCTTTGACTAAGTGCTTCGTGATATGGTAAAAAATGAGCTAGATATTACTGTTATGCCTGATACTGCAGCAACTCTGGGCGGATTACAGATTTAAACATAAAGAAAACGACCCAACTATATTATATAGGTTATTACACAGATGGAGGAGTGGATATTTTCTATTAACAGAATAATAGAGTTAAAAGGGATTTTGGACGTCTTCTAGTCCAGGATAGGCAACCTTGGCTCTTTTATGACTCATGGACTTCAACTCCCAGAATTCCTGAGTCAGTTCTGGGAGTTGAAGTCCATGAGTCATAAAAGAGCCAAAGTTGCCTACCCCTGTTCTAGTCCAACTCTCTCCTCAAGCTATCCACTGTCCCATTGAAGGACCAGAAATAATGGATTAAACTACAAGGAAGGACATTCAGGGTACATGTTAAGAGATTTATTGCCTATATGAGCTGTTAGTTAGCAGAATAGGCTATCACAGGATGTGATGAATTTATATTTCTAGAAGCCTTAAAATAGACTAAATGATCATCCATCAAAGATACTCTAGCACAGTGGTTCTCAACCTGTGGGTCGGGACCCCATTTGGGGTCGAATGACCATTTCACGGGGGTCGCCAAACCACACTGTCCGCCATTTTTTCCCCTTTTCCCTAGCTGTCCTACTCCCTCTTATTGGTGGCCACACCCACTTGGGGGTCACCACAACATGGGGAACTGTATTATGGGGTCACAGCATTAGAAAGGTTGAGAACCACTGCTCTAGCAGGTCCTATACTGAAAAACAGGTTAGATTGGGTGACCACTTCTACTCCTTGATTCTATTCTTTTTGAGAACCCAACATTCAATGAAAGACAGTTATGAACCAATATCTCTATATGTGAATAATACATCCTAGATGACTGTGGATCAACAGCCCATGACATTTACAAATCTTGAAAGGACAAGATTTCAAGTTGTCTGAGACAACTCAAATTCTGCCTAATGCAAGTTAGTTAAATCAGAGGAAGTAAAAAAATAACCTGAGTCACACAGAAGGAAACACTTAACATAGCACAGTCCAAGAGCATACTGAAAACACAAAATGAAGAAAATATGGTTAGATATCCATAGCATCATAAGTTACTTCCCTACCACCTGTTTTAATAATAAACAACTTCATTCAGATGAATCTGACTGTTCCATTTCTTTTTGCAGTAATTGGGAATTCTTTTTCTTCTGTCTTAGCTTTTGCCCAAGAAAGCTAACTTTGGATGCATAATACTTACCTATACTGTTTTAAAAATATAAATGCCAGATAAGCAGTCAAATAAATTCTCAGCTTTAAATCTTGCTGAACATACCGTAAGAGATCCATTCTGCGTGGTAGCTGTATTCGTATTCTGTTCTCCATGCGTTTGTCCACTTCCATAGATTGTCAGATTGTGCTCACTGGTCTGGCCTGTATAGTCCTGAGTGTGGGGAACACCATACTCTGTGGGGATCCCATTCTGTGGGGGAGGTGGGAATGGGATTGTGGTGAATGGCTGGACCATTGTGTCAGGAGTAGCTGTCGGCTCCTGGTTACCCTGGAGGGGAAAAAAAAGGCAAACAGCATTAAAGGAAGGAAGGAAGGAAGGAAGGGAAACATATATTCTGTCAACAAGGGACAGATGGTGGTCAATAAAATTGGGGAGATAAGAATCAATAAAATTAGCCTGAATCAAAACACTGCGGAATGAAGGACTCAGTTTATGGGCTGTAATCTACCACATTGGTCCAATGATGGATATGTTTTCTGATTTCCCAGTTTAGGACTGGGAGAGAGTCACTAGCTTCTGTGGCTTAGAAGTGATGCATTCTCCCTCTTTCTCAGCCACTGTTCAGCAGCAATATGTCTTGTCTCCTAGAAACCATCCACATATTTTTCTTTAGCATGTTTAGTGGAAAAGCACATTTAGCAGAAAAAACAAATGTTCAAATAAAGGTTTCAAGTTAAAGGCTTTTAGAATCCTATTCACTTAAGGACAGAGAAGGAATCAGACTTAGGTTCCAAACTCTCTGATGATGTATCACAACATCTCTTTTTCAAAAGATGAATACAGAAAACGAAATAGCACATGTACTGTGCTGCCCAGCACTCAGTATCTGAACAAGTAATTTCCTTTGCTCCAAGCTTGTGATTATACTTCTTAGGGATCAATCCTAAAAGTCTTCTATTTCAGAATATTTCACTTCATGCTGAAAATATTTCTCAAAGTTACCCATATAGAGGAAATGAGCCACTATGTGGTATTACAGAAGCATCTGTTTAAAAGACAGAATATATGCTAGCAAAATAAGAACTTAGGATGGCAGTTTAATTATTTGCTACACAAAGCACCTTAAAAAAACAGGTTTAAAGTAAAACAGTGCAGAACAGGTGCTGTTTCATTTTGTGTATTCATCTTTTCAAAAAGGATTGTTCTGATACATCATCAAAGAATTTGGAATCTAAGTCTGATTCCTTCTCTGCATTTAAGTTAGTCTTTGAATGAGAAAGATGCCCAAAACAAATATGTGTAATGTAGATTTCTTTATTTAAAAATAAGTTTAATATACTCACAGACAATAGAAAGACTGACTGGCCAAAGGGAGACCTGATATATCTTTTTGAAGAAGGTACAAAATGGATTTTAGGTTTTATCCTTACAGTAGTGAGACCACTCAAGCTTTAGCTTGTTATTTTATTGCTTGGAGGAGAATGCAAACCATGTTTGAAATAAAAAATAATATATAAAAATAAAGTTTTATATACCAAAAGAACAGAGGCAACACAAAATTAAAATTATGTTTCCTCTGTTTATGATAAGTAACTAGTAAGGAGCAGAATGACAGGAGAATATAAACCCATGCGTGAAACACACATTTGTCTATATTGCCTCAATCATTTAATTCAGATGTTCTTTTTTATAATAATTTTATTAAACATTACAATTAAAAAGAATTAATACAAATTTTAAAAAGAAAAAAGAATGTGAGAAAAAAAGAAAAAAATAGAAAAATAAAATGGAAAGAAAAATAAGAATATAATCAATAAAAAGATAAGAAACATATAAAGCAATGGCTTCCCCTTTAATTACAAGTATAAACAATTTTACTAATTTGTTACCTTCTCTTAAAATACAACAAGTGATTCTCTTATCTATAAGCAAATCTTGAAAGCTGTTGGGAAACTTCCAGCTAGGCTGGAAGGAAGGGTCAAGCTTATGCCACTTGCAGCTACGCAATGACTACAAGCTAGGCCCTCGTTGACCCCTCCTTCCATCCAAAAAACCCAATATTATTTATTATCATCATCATCATCATCATCATCATCATTATTATATCTATTTTAACCTTGATCAAATTAAATAAGTTTTTGTATCCCTTTTATAGTACTTTCAACAATTGATCTTTAAACCCTTTAAATACAGGCAGTCCTCAACTTATAAGCACAACTGAGCCCAAAATTTCTGTTGCTAAGCAAAATATTTGTTAAGTGAATTTTGCCTCGTTTTACGACCTTTCTTGCCACAGTTATTAAGTTGTTAAATTAGTTAAATTAGCAACATGGTTGTTAAGTGTATCTGGCTTCCCCATTGATTTTGCCTGTCGTCGGAAGGTTGCAAAAGGTGATGACATCACCCGAGACACTGCAGCCATCATAAATATATGCCAGTTGCCAAATGTCGGAATTTTGATCAAGTGACCACAGGGATCCTGCAATGGTCGTAAGTGTAAAAAACAGTCATAAGTCACTTTTTAAAGTGCCACTGTAACTTTGAACAGTCATTAAATGAAAGGTTGTAAGTTGAGGGGACTACCTGTACTGTCCTAGAAGGGTTTTTTTTTTTTTCATTTTTAGTTTGTCCTTCTCACAAAATCCTTCTAAACTTTAACTAGTCTCTTTTGTAAATCCATTACATGAAAGTTATTCAGGTCACTCTTTTGGTTTGTTATTTGTATGACCCTATTAAGACATCAGCTGATTTCATTTGTATATCCAATGTAGCATCTTTTCCCATATCATTCTTGTAACTTGTCCTTTTAAAATCCACTTTCAAATTAGTCTCAGTCTTGTCTGGTAAAATTTGTTCCTCTTCCATATCATTTTTTAGATACACCTACCGGTATCTATAATGGCAGACAGTTTTAACTCCTGGGTCCATTGTTCAAATATCTTTCAATGCATCAATTGTAAAAGTATTTTGCTCCATTCTGTATTAGTAAATCAAATTTAAGTCTTCTTTTCCTTTAATTGTAATCTTTAGTTCTTTCTGGTTCCCTCTAGCGTCCAACCTTCAAAGTCTCATCCTGTCAAGTTTTTTTTAAGAATTCAAAATAACAGAATTTTCTATAGGAAGGATTCTTATAATTTCGAAATCTTGTTTTGAATCCATCTAGGTCAATTTTTACCACATAATCCAGTTTGTTCTAGTGGTTAAGAGATCAGGCTAGAAATCAAAGACTGAGTTCTAGGCCCGCCTTAGGAGTATTAGGTATGTTTACTGCCTTTTACCAAAATAATAAAAGCAGAATAATATATGTGTGCTTGTGTGTGTGTGTGTGTTATCCTGCCTTTATTATTTTGATATATACACACACACAGTCTTCTGAATCTATACAACTATATGACATTGGTAGAGAACTAATATATGTTTAAAGTACTTCAAATGAAACACTGAAGATGTCTAAAAAGGAAAAATATAAGAAAAAAACTATAGAAGTAAAAATAAGAGTAATTTATATTATAAATATAAAAGCAAAAGGCAATTAATACAATTACTAAATCTTCTGCATTTAAAAGTCCAGGTAAAGACTTACATCTTAGCTACTTTTTAAAAGGTAGGGAAAATGAGGGCCAAATTAAATTCTTGACACAGTAACCAGGAACAGCCCCTCTTCCCTACATTCATTAAAAAGACCTCTGGCACTGTGGGGATGGGCATCATCTTCAAAAGGGCCTCTTTTACAACTCATAAAGCCTGGAAACATTCTAAATTATCCTCACTTTTCCATATATAGCAATCCAGTTAATCCAAAGATTTCAGTCTCTCAATGAAGCAATCAAACAAATTCCTAATAGTTCAAGGAAAAGGAATGAGGGAACTAACATATAAGGGAACTGATGTATAGGTTACTTCATTCTTACCTACTATGTAAATAAACTTGAATGTAAGTTATCTTCCTGCTCTTTCAGGCAGCATCCAAGAACAGTATATAAAATAATTTCAAGGGATATGCAAAATAAATGCCTACACATCAGCATTAAACATGTTACATTGTCATACTAGTATATTTAAAGCATATTAAATCAGTATTTTAGGCACAAGATTTCTTAATTTTTTTCAAGTTCACTGAACATTGATAACTTTTTAATGAAGGAAAAAGAAAAAAATATGCTGAAATAAAAGTGTATTTTTAAAGTGCTCTTATTTTCCCACATGTTCAACATATTGAATCTGAATTTTAATGGAATGCATATGGCGGACATTGATAGCATATTTCAATAATGTCTGAAGCAAGATTTGTTATAGAAAGTATCTGCATAACATTCTTTCAATACTGGATCTGTGGTATAGGCACGCTGGCTGAGGAATTCTGGGAGTTGAAGTTCACAAGTCATAAAAGGGCCAAGTGTGAAGACCCCTGGTATACAGAGTGCTGAAAATCCCTTTGGAAAAATATAACTTGAAGGCAAAGATGATGGGACTTTGAAAGCTTTTGCATTAAAAAGCTCATATACTTCATGAATTTTCAGACAAAGGTCTTCTAGTAGTAGATTTTTCAACAGACCATCTTGATTCATAGATAGGCTATACTTTGGGATAATGAAATTGGATGTATCCAAGTCTGCAAAACAATTTCTTCTGGATCTTCTAACCAGTAGATACAAACTCATCATATCTGTCAGAGAATACTTAATTTAAAAAACAGTTCTTTGACATAAAGAAGTATCAAAGAGATCACTGTTGAATATCTAAAAAAGAAAAAAATCTGAACAAGGAAACTTGAAACAAATTAAATAAATGTTTCCCATCCTTTCAACTCTCATTTTTGGCAAATAAAATGTTGAATTGAAGAACACTTCTAGTTAATTGTTCAGATATTGGCTGGATCCCAAATTTGTTTTGATACTAGCCCATCTGGACAATGTCTCCTAGAATTATGTATTTCTATAGCAGAGAGATGAAATAAGGTGATATATCGATACACAATGAGAGATGAAAGAATGATGGCAACAATTTATTTCCGGAATTCCAAATATTACAAGCAAACACATAATGATTACTACTCTTAAAGTGCTATTTTACGTGTCTACATAACAAGCTTTGTTTTGTAATGTTCAATTCTAATAGTATACAGTCTTATACAACGGAATCAGCTTCTCCCTCCTCTACTTCTCAATTACACATGCTTCAAAAAATAATTCATGGATGGAGAAGCACATGATACTATTCTATTCCAGGTAACACAAAATAACTCAATTATAAAGTAAGCATTCAAGGATTTGGATTTCCCTTGGATTTAAAAAGAAACAATAACAAAAATGTTGAAAGAGAAATGG